TAAATTAATTAAATCACTGCAAACATATTAGTTTTAGGTATAAATAATGATCCACTGATTATTCTTTGCTGACGAGACTTTTCCTTTAAAGTACATCTCTCCACCCTCTGATGTCCTTTTACCACGTAGATCCTTGACCTCCACAAACTGTGACAAACAAAAGCTATGAATGAATTTAAAAATGCCGTCTGCAAACAGGCCTGCTCATAAAGCGTTGGTTTTCTTGTAGTTCTGTCACTAGTTCCAATTTATAGATAAAAAAGAAAGAGAAATATTTCCCTGAGGTTACATCTTTCCTTTCTTTATTAAACAAACAAAACACTTCCTCCCTCCACTTTAGCTTGCAGAACAGCTTCACTGGGTCCTTTGAAAGGGCACAAGAGAGAAGGGGGAGAGGGAGGGATGAGAGGATGGGCATGTGTGTCTGTGTGTAGGAGAGAGAGGGAGGGAGGGAGGGAGGGAGACGCTGCATCAAGCCGGCATGCAGCAGCAGTAGCAGGCTGGGCTTTGGGATCCATTGTTCCATGTTTTTTCCACCACCCGGGTTTCTTCCTTCTCAATAAGAAGCCAGGGTAGAAAAAGCAAAGAGGAACACAGAAACATTAAAGGAGCTGAGGTTTGTCTGGGCAGGATTTTTATTTCCTCAGCCATAGTGTTGTGGACAAAGGAGAAAGACTCTCCAGCTCTTTGCTGTTGGCCAGGCTTGCAGTTGACTGCATTGGGAAGTAAGCGCTCTCAGCGTGGCGGCTATGGGGCTGCCTGGCGGAGCTCTCCTTCTGCTGGGGGTTCTGAAACAAACACCGTGCCTCTTCATCTGGAAGTTATCCCTGCTCCTTTTCTCCATCTGGGCACTTGATGCACAAACCACAGTGGAAACTAAACCCTTGTACATCTGGCAAACAGGTATGGTCCATCTTCCTTTATCACCTCCTCATTTTGGGGTTGTTTAATGGATGTCCCATCTGCTCCCATGCTTTATTGATGCCAAAGCATCAAATGTTTCTGCAGAGTGAAGCCAAATAAAGGAGAGTCTCTGTGTTCTTCTGCGATTTGCTCTGTTATAAGTGATGAATCTATAAACCTTCCTTTCTCCTCAGCAGATATCTTCATTTACAGCTTTTTGGTTAAAGGTAAAGCACTGGAGCTGTCCTACTACCATTAAATGAGTTAACATATTTACTGCAGTCCCAGAAGGGAATGCCTCTTGACCCCTAAATGTCCGGCGAAGGTGTGAGTTTTTGCAGCTTTCTCTTTGCTTCTAGTTTAGTCCCGATGAATCCAGGCAGCTGGGACTCCTCCGCTGCTGTACGCCTCTATTGGACTCATTCATCACAGCCTGGCGTGTTGATAGGAGATGTTTATGAAGAGCAGGTGCATGCTGTCTTTTCCAAAGTAGGGTGGGAGAGTGTAACCCACAGCGCAGAGCGTCCGTCGGTTTTTAATCATTAAAAAGGGAAAAGTTTGATTGATTATGAAACCAGTTCAGAGCAGTTTATGTATATTTATAACCTAGACATAGATGGGAAGGTTGTATTAATGGGGGTTCATAAGCCTCTCAGAGAGGTAGAGTGATATGAGGATCTCCGCTGGGCTGGTTTGGGTGTGCCGGATGAGTCTCGTTCACTGTGGGAGAGCAGCACATGGTCAGGAGGACAATACTGATACATGGTCCAGCGAGCAGAGCGAAGGAGAAGAGGGAAGATGGGAGGAGGCCAGAGTAGTAATCATGGGAGAAGGAGTCAGAGTATGGATCTCCATTGATCCATTGGGATCCAGGTGCCCTTTGGGTCCGGCTGCAGATCAATGCTCTCCTTCTGTACTGTTTAATCTTTCACTTTCTCTTCATCTTCATACCCCCCCTCTTCACACACACACACACACACACACACACACACACACACACACACACACACACACACAAACAACAACAAAGACAGGACGAATGAGTCGAAACGGTGCAGGAAATGTCAACCTATATGGGTTTTCTTTCACAGTAACAGCAAACTTTTGGTTTACTAAAAAACATGCAGGTTGTTTTCTGAGATGTTTTTCCTTTAGATTGACATTAAGCTTCATTTGTTTCACATATGAATTTTATTTTTAATCTTTAAGAAGTTTGATGTTTATTATCTACAATCCATCTAAGACGCCCTGTCTGCAACCTTGCCAGTGGCGCAGTGTCCTCTTTCCACACTAAAATAAATTTAAATCTAAATAAGTCATTTTTTTCTTGAATTCAGGAGGTAAATGAGACACTTTGCTAATGGAACAAGACAATTTACATTCAAAATAAGAAAAAAACTATTAGATTGTCTTATTTAGAGTGCATATTACCAAATTATCTTATCTTTTTTTGAATTTTTATGGCAATAGTGGCTTAATTTTTTTGTTTTGACAGTAGGCTGATAGGAAAGGGGGTATGAGATTCGGATTCGAACCCGGGTCAGCCGCATCAAGGACTTAGTCCTCCGTACATGGGTGGTGTGCGCAAACCACTGCACCAGCAACACGCTCTAATTATCTTATTTTAATGTTACAAATACTCATTCCATTGGCAAATCATCATATTTACCTGCTCAGATTAATTTACGAAATGTTTACTTTTATTTCTAGATTGTTTTTGCAGTGCAGTAATCTTTCCAGTAATTTGGTCTAAATTAATTCTTCCAATCATTCTATTAATAACATTAATGACAAATAGCTTCATCCAAATACTAAATCAGTTAAATTTTCAAGCAGCTAGCAAAAAAAGAAAAACCCCACATTGCATGAATAGTTTATTACATTTTCTGCTGTAAAAGAAAAAAAGTATTTTAATATCACAGCAACTTTATTTTTAATATTTGTGAGCTCCTGTTTTGACCCTTTCCATCATGCAAGTTGTGTCTGATAAACAAAAAGATTATATCAAAGATTATATCAACACATAATTAGTTGAACAGAGACCAGAGTGATGACTTGATATCTTACATACAATATTAAGTCAAGGTGTAAAATCCAACTCTAGTTACAAGTCCTTCAACATTTTATTCCTGTCAAGTCTAAAATCATACAGTATATGACTGGAGCACCAACATTATTATTAGCTGGCTGTTAATTGATTCATCATTTCTATGAATTAATCTCACTTTTAGGATTAATCCACAAATATTGTCTTCAGGTTTTCTTCATTGTAGATTATTCGGTGAGAAAAGCAATGGGCTGAGCCCACTAACTTGAGGAACCCACTGC